TCCCTCCTTCCCTTATTTATTCTTGGTTCTGTACTCCTGTCATTTGAAGAAGTGGGCTGTGCCCATGAAAGCTCATAACACCATCTACATTTTTTTTCTTTTGGTCTCTAAGTGCTGCAAGACAATTTGTTGTTTTGAAAGTTTTTACTAGGGAAATAGGTGCCACAGTCACAGTTTCACAGACAGGAGACGAGGTTTTATGAGCTACCCTTATACTTACAGCTTCCATTAGGCCTTTCAGAGATGGTGTCTTTAGCATAAGTGCATCAAAGACTTCTTCTGACTCCTTTCGGACATACAGCAACACTGAATGCAAACCAGAGAGAGTGCTTTAATGCGTCTGTGTTCCATAAGGACAAGGCAAAACAAACGGGAAAGCCCAGAACAACACACATTAAAATAAGGCACAGACTTACACACAAAACTTAGTTAAATCAAAAATATTCCTTTTACATGCTTGTTGAAAGTGACAGGCAACAAGATGTGTAAAAGTGTCCCAAAGCTCAGCTACTCAACACCTTTGCCTTTGAAATTATCCCGTCTTTGTCTCCGTTTGTTAATGAGATAAAAGGCTACATTGAACCTGCTTTCAGAGGAGTCAGAATAGGTGAACAAGTGGAACCCTTCAAAGTCTCTTGGCTACTGCCCATGCTTTACAGCTGCCATGATGAACCACTACATAAAAGCACGCAGCAGACACCAGCACAGTTACTCATGTGGAGTTTGCCATTTCTCAATTTTTTATTCTCTTTAGTTCTGTCCAACTGTCTATTTTCTCCCTATTGTAATGTTGTCTCCCCCCCCCTGCTTCCCCGTTTGATTTCCTTGCTATTGTTCAGTAATACTTATTAACAAGAATGTTGCACCATCTAATAGGATATGGATTTGATTTTCCCCCATCCAAAAACTGGACTGAAAGAATGAGAAGCCAGACAGTCAGAGTATCCTCCAGCTCATGGAAACTGAGCCATTACACAGAAAAACAGCCCTATTAAAAACTGCATTAAGGCTGAGCAATAAGCCAATAAGAGCAGGGAAATGTGGACTTGTAAAGCTTCAGAGTCTTAATTCACCCTCTAATGACTAGGTATTGCAGTACATATTGTTTACTATATTTGATAGCTCTCTGCTCTGATGCACCTGTGATTTGGAACAATATACTTTAACTTCTAGGTCAAAGAGGGTGAATTAAGGATAAGCTTGTAAATTTTCCTTTGGTGGAGGAGGGCTTAAAAATGAAGGCAGAAGGAGGAAGAAGGATTAAAAGTGAACACATCCATGTATACAGGAGAAGCAGAGTGGCTTGGTGGATGGATGGACGGATGCTGGGCTTCTATTCCAGGCTTTTGCACTGGCCTGCTGGGTGACTCTGGATAAGTCCCATCACCCTGGTGCCTCAGTTTCCCCATATGTACAAGGGAGATGATGGTGCTGACCTCCTTTGTTAAGTGCTTTGTCACCAACAATGAAAAGTGCTACATAATAACTAGGTATTACTCTAGACCATAAATATGAAGCTAAGGTTATTTATAGAAAATAAAGGTTCTCATTTTAGGGTTTATTGCAGTGAAAGAAACAAAACCCTCATTCTCCCTTCACAAACATCTCTTTGTTGGTTTATTGCAGCTGGAAGGGAAGGACAGCTATGTGGCTAAGGCTGAAACAGACTCCAGAGGCATGGGTCCCATTCCTCACCTGCCACAGACAAGTCACTGAACTCTTCCATGCTCTGCTTCTCCAGTTACAAACCAGGGACAATGGCACTTCCATGCTCAATGAGGGTGCTGCGAGGATTCTTGTAAAAAAACATGATTCCCTCCCCCCCCCCCACACCCCAACCAAGAAGTGGTGCCTTTCTAGATGGGGAAAACAGGCACAGGGAAGTTAAGCGTCTGGCAAAAGGTTACCCAGCAAGGTCTGAGCTGGCAACAACCCAGGAGTCCTGACCACAAGACACAAGCTCCCCCTGTTATTAAAAACCTACATTATGTATTTGCAAGTTTAGCTGGCTCCCAGCTGAGGCATAGAACAGAATATTTTCCTCCCAAAACATGTGCGTCTCCTGCTTGCACTGACAGGAATCAGGCAGGCACATCAAAAGAGATCAGACACTACCCTCCCCAGCCTTACCCTGACCTGATTTTCTTTCATGACATGGCAATGCAACAAATGGGTCTTTAAAAAAAAAAAAAAAAAAAAGTACCTCGTTTTGGTTCCTCTATTCTGCTCAGCTTATTGGGAGGTGCAATGAAGTCATTTTCAGTTAGATAAGGACCCCTCTTCATATTAGAGCTACAATAGTGCAAAAAGTGTATTAATAGCAACATCACCATCAGCAGGAGCAACCTCCTTCCCTGAAAACAGTGAAACTGCCATATCATGGATCTCACGAACAAACAATTTCAGCACTTGTGCAATTCTTACTTAATTACAATGGACAATACACAAGTCAATACACATTATTTACAAATGCCCAGATGCTTTGATTCTGCTGCTTACAGTTCTGACTATGGCCTGGTGTTTATAGACGGGGAGGAATAAAATACGGGGAGGGATAAAATAGCTAAGATTCCAATACACAGCAAGCTCTTTGGGGCAAGAGCGACTTCACCTTCCTAGTTGATTTTACAGTACCATGTAATTCAATAGTACTGTAGAATGGATGAAATGGCAAGTTTCTTACCCTTCCCCCTCCAGTTCCTCTGAGGTAACAGGGAGGACCTTCAAAACAAAACAAGAAAAAAAAATATGAGTGTATGGAGAAAGGTGTTCTAAGTAAGACTGCTGAATGGCAAATGACATTGGACCATTAACTAGAACCTATCACGGACTGAGGGTATGTCTACACAGCAAAGTTATTTCGAAATAACAGCCGTTATTTCAAAATAACTTTCCTAGCATCTGCACAGCCAAACCGCTATTTTGAAATAAATTCGAAATAGTGGAGTGCATATTTCAAATTTGGTAAACCTCATTCCATGAGGAATAACACCAAATTTGAAATAGGTATTTCAAAATAAGTGCTGTGTAGACACTTATTTCAAAATAGGCAGTTTCCAGCCTTCCCAGGGTGCCCTGGTAGCCACTGCAGCCTCAACCAAGAACACTCCTCTCCCTCCCCCCTCCCTGGAGCCCTTAAAGGGGTTGACTCTGGCCATAGTGCCTGTGCCAGCTCCAAGCCTGCCAGTCCAGAGCCAGCAGTCACTGCCCATGACCCAGTGGCCCCAAAACATGAGCCAGTAAGCCACTGGCAGCCAGCCCTCTGCCGCTCCCCAGGAGAAGTCTGCCAGCTCCCAGGAGCCTGCCAGGGCCCGGAGAAGGTAGGCGCTTTCCTGGTCCAGGGTGGAGATCATGGACCTTATTCAGGTTTGGAGGAGATGCCCCCAATGTCCATGATCTCTGCACTAGATGGAGGAACGCGGCCGACTATGGCAGGATACCTGCCAGCCTGGCCATCAAAGGCCACATGTGAACCCAGGAGCAGGTCTGCATGACAATCAAGTTGGTCCGGTGAGATCCCCAACCCTGAGCCCTGAGCTTCCCTTCCCCCTTTTTCCTCTTGCTTCCCGCTTCCAGCTCCCTCCTCCCAGGTTTCCCCCTCTCCCACGCTCTTTTTTCCCCAGTCTCACCAGAGTTTCTTCCCTCCCCACTCCCCCAGTTTTGTTAAATAAAGAGAGCTTGTGTTCATGAAAATACATGCATTTTATTTGACATCAGGAAGGGGGGTTAGGGAGGGGTAACTGGAAGGACGTGAGGGAGGAATGAGGCACAAGTCCCCAGTGGGGCAGACCAGGGAAGCTCTTAGTGCTCCACAGGGGGGAAGCTCTCCCTCAGGGCCCCCTGGATACGGACAGCTCCCCAATGGACCTCCTGGATGGTAGCCTGCAGAAAGTGCAGCCAAGCTCGCAGCAACGTGTCCATGAGAAGCACCAGAGTGCCCTGGGACAGCTCTGGCTTCATGCTGCAGAGTGCTGTGGTGTCCTGAGTGAGGCAACAAGAGCACGCACAGACAAAATGCTTTGCTGTCCCTCATCGAGGTGGACAAGCAAGCAGGGAAACCTGAGAACTGGCTGTTCAGGGGGGGTCCCTTTAAGCACAGACCTCAGATAGCCCCACACAGTAAGTCCTGACCTGGTGCCCTGCCGGATCTGGTTTTGGCCAGTCTTAAATGTGATTCAGAGTCCACTCAGTGTGGAGGCGCTATTTTGAAATAGCAAAATGCTATTTCAAAATGCATTTTGTGTGTAGATGCGTTATTTTGAAATAAGCTATTTCAAAATAACTATTTTGAAATAAGATATTTCGAAATAACACTGTAGTGTAGACATACCCGAGACACAGAGGTAGGAGAGAGGGGGAGGAATAGTAAATTTAAAAAGTGGGCTTGAGAAGCCAGCAGTAGGAGCAAAAAAAGCAGACCACGGCTCCTAGACCAGCATCCTGTCACTGGCCAGCACCAAACACTTCACAGGACAGTGAAGAGTTGCCTGCCCACAAAGCAAGTTTTCTTAGTCATTTCCCCCCCCCCCCCCCGGTCATTAGTTAGAGCCTTACTTAGGCCATGAAGCACGAAGGTTTATTAATCACTTAATAGCAACTTTTTGCCCCCAGTAGTCACACATTTAAGAATCAGTTCAATGGCTATGTACAGTATCATCATATAGGCCAACAATGCCTCTAATTTTATATTATGGGCACACAAGGGCACCACATACATGAGCTCCACGCTGAAGACCAGATAGGTGAAGGTCTGGGATAAAAAGAATAGGCTCAGTGTCGAGATCTTGGGATGGCTTGAAGACAGTGATGTCTGTCCGCTTGTGGGAAGGAAGCAGTGGCATTTTGACATCGGGAACTGTAAAGAGATATCAAAGACTGTAATATACAGATACTACAAACAATGACAGGTTTATAGCCTTACTCCTTAAAAGCTGTTAAGCAGTGATGTGGTGGGTGGGTGTGAAGAGTAGGGATCCTATTGTTAATTTCTCAATCAAGTTCTTTTGAGAGGAAAGGGGGATGGGGAGTGGTAGATTTCCCCTTCTCTGAAGGATTCACCTACTGTGGAGGCCACTACATCACCCCTGCCAAAAATGTAGAGTCTTAGGTTTCCCAAAGGAGAGTGTAACATGTCAGGTATTTTCAGTAAAATGTTCCCAAAGAATAGCTAAGATGGATTTTGTTCCTCCCACAAACGCTGATTTCAAATGGCAGAGTCTGACTACCAGCTTTTCCAGAGAGCAGCAGGAAGTATTCGCCAGGTGGCATTGCTTGCCTCCTTGGCTGGCATTATGAGAAGGGGCTAGCATCTAAACAAGTAAACAAATGAATTAATAGATTCCTCCCTGTAGCTCACTTCTTCTCTGTGAGCTCATGCACCCTGAGATACAGGCTCTGCACAGCCAATGGGGCAGAGGGGATATTTGTGGGAGTGCCTTGTTTCAATATTGGTAACATATCACCTCTTAAAAGCACACCAAGCTGATCAAACTTTATGAACGATTGTACTGTGGTCATAAGACTGATCAGGGAAAGCCGTATCTAGATAATAGTCCTGCTTCTGCCAGGGTGCACTGCACCTCAGTCACTTTCTGCACAGTGCGTGTGTGAGAGAATACTACAGCCTTACAGGTGCTCAACAAGGCTTCTGTCACCAGATATTGAAAAGCCTTCAGTGATCCTCACATGGAAAGCCCTACAGAAGCACTGTTACTACTGTGGAGTATGACAAGATACCAACATTTTCCAGAATCAAAGTTTCTGTGAAAAATTTTGGTTCACCGTTCTGAACTGAAACAAAATAGTTCAGTCTAGTTCAATCTGTGCCCCTTAGCCACTCATAGGAATTGTAGTTTGGGTGCTTCTGGGGTGAATCCCATGTACTAGAGCACTGTGGTCACATGATTCCCAGAATGCAGCACATCAGTTCAACCACTGGGAGACCACGGTGCATCATGAGAGTTGTAGGTCAGCTGGGAAGACTCGTCTCAGTGAATGGGATATGGAGGTATCCAAACCACAGCTCCCATGAAGCACTGTAGCAGATGTGATGAATAGAGGCGAATGTCAAACTGACCCACAATTTTTATTTGGGTTGACAAACGGAAGTGTTTTACTTTGGGTTAAGCCTGTCCACAATGAAATATTTCATTTTGAAGTTCCCTTGGGAAAAAATTGAAAATATTTCAAAACAACCAAAAGTTTTCAGTGGGAACATGGATTTTCCAGAACTTCAACCAAAAATGGCCAACCAGCTCTACTACTGAGCAATCCATATAGATACAGTAACTATTTTTGAGCTATAAGAATTACACTTGCTTCCAGAGATAAACTAGTTGTTCAGAGATAATGGGGAAATAAATGGCACATCTGGGCTGAGCCCAAGCATGGGAAGTTTAGCTCCATAAGCAGCATTGATGAAGAAAGATATGAACGTCTACCAGTAAGGGGGTTATGCATGTAATTGCCATTTCTCAGCCATTAACTCTAGTTTTATGCTCAGTGGTCAGTGGGTCCTGCTTGGCTACTGTAACGTGGGATAGGAGACACCCCCTGCTCAGCAAATCTTTGTTAAATGCTAGCACAGTGTTAAGTCTTCTTTTTGTGATATATTTAACAAGAGGGCTGGGCCCCCTGATCACTATGCAAGCCAACCCCCCCTCTGTCTGGGAGTAGGTGTCTGGCTGGGGAGAGGGTGCAAGAGCAAGGGAGGATGCAGGAGCAGGCTGGGGGTGCAGGGTCTCGGTAGGAGAGTGAGGGGGCTGGAGGTGTTGGGTCTTGGCCAAGGAGGCAGGTGATGGGTCTGGGTGTGCAGGGAGGAGGGAGGACACATGGCTAG